TTTTTTTTTTTTTCTTTAAAATGTATAAGATGCATTTCCAAAAGGTTGGATGAAGTATTAGCATACTAAGATTAATTAGAAGTACCATAAATCTCAATAAATTAATTATTAGTAAGATGGTAATAAGGGATAGGGGGAGTGAAAAATCAATCCACGTTAACTATATATTCATGGAGGAGTGGAGTGAATGGTGTTTGTTATTTACAGTTTCGGAATTTGCTTCTCCAATTCAATGTTATTAGTCCATCTCTGTGAATTTCTATTTCTACCCTATCAACCAACTACTCCAATTCATGACGATACTTGAAAAGAATGTATCATACTTAAATGAATTTAACTTCATGTGCTGAGATCACAAGTATATTTAGAGGTTAATTTGTCAATTTTAGTGTTTCCATTATAAACCATTGATACAAGCTGTGAACCAACAATTCTAAAAAAGTGGGACCTCTAAAGATATTATTTTGTTGATATCGGGCAGCTCTAATTTTTCTTTTCCTCTTTGGTACCCATCAACTGTTCGTTGTGCAGATATTGACCATAAATCAAGTCTGGGCGAAGGACTGGTCGGTTTCAAGTTCAACTTATCCTTCTCTTTTAGTCTTTTTCTCATTATTTATGAATATAACTCTTTTAGGAGGAACATCTTAATTTTGTAACTCAATAATTATATATTGTATTATTAAATATGCTTTTTAATGTTAGAATTGATTTCGAATCTTCCATATCTAAAATTATAATCCGTTCAAAAAAAAACTTTTTTAGAAAATTGTGAATTCAGTCCCTAACATTGAAAGGTGTATCTTTTTAAAATTTATAATTAAGTGGTTTTCTAAGCCAAGTGTCAAAAAAAAATTTTTTTTACAAAGGTAATGGTTAAAAAGTTAGTTTGAATTAATTGTTAGTAATTAAGGATTCGATCATCAGATCGGGTGAACATTTTACCCTCTCAAATGAGATGTGCGGCCATTGGATCATTTTATAATGGAGTTCACAATGGTGATAGAATTCAAAACTTTGATTATCTCACTCAAATACTTAAGATTTGAGGTTGAATCATCGAGCTTAGAAGCCAGATTCGTCAAAATTTAGAATTAAGAAGAGGTCAACAAAAAATAATGTATGAATTGTAGAGTCTCAATGAACTTGCTTATCAATTTTTTTTAAAAAGTATAAAGATGAGTTTTTTTTTTGTTTTCCGTCCGGTATCTGAAGCTTCGCCCCTACTAGTTTGGATTGACTCGCATCGCGCATATGAAAATGATGGCTGAGTCTCCCAACAGAGACTGCTACGTACACAAAGTCTTAAACTCAAGACCTTACTTAAATTGAAACAAGTCACTTACTACTTGATCCAATCCTTCGTCGATAAGTATAAAGATGATGATTAAGCGAAAGAACGCAATAATTCAATAATAATAATAATAATAAAAATAAAAAGTAAACAAGGAAAGCTGTGAAAGCTGAATGATTATTGCCACTACCATTTGGGCCATCACTTGTGCTACTCTTAGTGAAAGCAAAAGTAGGGAATAAAGACCATGCATGAGTTGTATATTCCCAATAAATTTATTTGTCGATTTCTTAGAAAAGTATAAAGATAATATTTGAGTGAAAGAACGCAATAATTCAATAATAAAACAAAAAGTAAAAAGTAGACAAGGGAAGATGTGAAAGCTGAACTAATACTACCACCACCACTTGTGCTATCACTTATGCTATTTTTTTTTTTCGTTTCTCGTATCCGAGGTTTTGTTTTGATTAATTTAGATTTGATCGACATCATGTACCTAAAAATAATGGGTGAATCTTTCAACGAAAATTGTTACATACATAAAATCTCAAATTTGAGACTTTATTTAAGTTAAAATAAATCACTTACCACTTGATCCAACCCTTCGTTGGTATCACTTATGCTATTCTTTGTGAAAGCAAAAATAGGAATAAAAGACAATGCATGAGTTGGATATTTTAAATGAAATTACTTGTTAATTTTTTAAAAAAATATAAAGACGATTTTTAAGTGAAAGAATGCAATAATTCAATAATAAAATAAGAGAATAAAAAGTCCACAAGGAAAAATGTGAAAACTTTTATAGCTGGATAATTTTGAATTTACTTCCAAGACTGATTTCAATTAACTTTCGCTTTGGGGAGATGGCGAATGAAAAAATTCCAACGCAACAAGGGTGAGTTATTTTGTAGTTTTAACTATAAAAGCAAAATTATTAAATGAAAAATAGATCTTAATATTAAGAACTTATATGTATTGCATAATTTTTTTAAATAATAATTTTATTTTTATGAGTATAAAAGTATTCAACCTATAACACCACTAAATGATAGTCTATTTAACATATATATACTTACTAAATTGTATTTTATGATTTATGTAATACACTGTCTTTTAGGTTATAGTTTATGATACATTTTCAAGACAATAAAATATTAATTCTTGGTAGAGTTACCAAATGGTAATTATTAACTTCTAGAAATTAAATAAATCACATAATGTCTATGCTTACCCTACTCAAAATAATACTATTATTTTCCCTTTAAACTCTTTAGATGCTGAAATTGCTAATTAAATTAAACTTGGTCCTAAATCTTAATTGTTTTATAATTTGTGATTAATTTGATAGAATAAATGATTTATTCGAAGTTTTAATTTGTTAACCAATTGACATGTGCCGGAACCATACTTGCTAATTATACGCTATTCAAAAAAAAAAAAA